ATCCAGACGTCTCAGATCAGGACGGACTCCATGGCGCCACCACGTATACCTGCTTCTGCATCTGCAATGGTTGGCGGGCTCACAACCGCCAGCAAGCACTCTTATTCTACTCTTGCAGCGGCCGCAAACTCAAACGGGACTACGGCTTTGGACGCACGAATACGCAAGAGCTCAGTAGCTTGCTTGTCTAACCGTGCCCTCCGCGATCGTGTCAAGAGCGAGACGTGGAGCGGCCAGAAAGACGGCTCAAATGTTGCCACCACGCCCTCGGCGAGGGGAGCCGGCGGAGCAATGATCAAGGATATGAGATCAAAAGCGACACCGACTGTTCTCCAAACTGTCGGGTCCTGGGCTATGGAGCTGGACAAGGATGACAGGGCGGCTGAAGAAGAGATGCGTAAACTAGGCTCACGACGAAAGGAGACCGAGATCGCTGGCAAAGCCCTGGATGCTTTGAAGAAGCGTGCAACTCCCAAGGAGCGTGTCAGTCCTCAGGAGGCCATTCGAATTGCCATGTTGAACATTTATGAGCGGGGCGAAATCATTGACTACAATGACATTTACTTTTGCGGAACTCAAAACGCTCGCAAGATTATTGGGAACCTGCAGACGAATGCACCAAATTTCGGTTATGACGATGAGCGAGGAGATTACACCATTGTACCTGGTGATCACCTGTCGTACAGATACGAGATTGTGGATGTTCTCGGCAAGGGAAGCTTCGGACAGGTGGTGCGATGTATTGACCACAAATCTGGCAATCTCGTTGCCATCAAAATCATCAGGAACAAGAAAAGGTTCCACCAACAAGCACTTGTGGAGGTCAACATTTTGGCAAAACTTCGCGAATGGGTAAGTTTGAATGCGTTGACTAAAGTCGCCCCCCCTCCGTCCTCTTGGTCTTAGGTTCTTGTTCCTCTGCTCTCTCGTTTGACCTCTCTGCTTCAAACACCTTGCTAACTGATGTTTCGATAGGACCCGAAAAACAGGCACAGTATGGTCAACTTCACACAAAGCTTCTACTTTCGCGGTCATCTCTGTATATCTACTGAGCTCTTGGACATGAACCTTTACGAATTCATCAAGGCGCACTCGTTCCGAGGATTTTCTTTGAAGATTATTAGGAGGTTCACAAAACAAATACTGTCCTCTCTGGTTCTTTTGAAGCAGCGCAAGGTCATCCACTGTGATTTAAAACCCGAAAACATTTTGCTGGGGCACCCACTTCAATCAGAGATCAAGGTCATCGACTTTGGGTCTAGCTGTTTCGAACACGAAAAGGTGTACACATACATCCAGTCACGATTCTATCGATCGCCCGAAGTTATCCTAGGCATGACGTACGGAATGCCCATCGACATGTGGAGTGTCGGTTGCATCCTGGCAGAATTATACACCGGGGTGCCTATTTTCCCCGGTGAAAATGAGCAAGAGCAACTGGCCTGCATCATGGAAGTATTTGGTCCTCCAGAAAAGCATTTGATCGAGAAGAGCACGAGAAAGAAGCTCTTCTTTGACTCGATGGGCAAGCCTAGGTTGAGTGTCTCTTCCAAGGGGCGTAGACGTCGGCCTTCGTCCAAGACACTGCAGCAGGTTTTGAAGTGTGACGACGAAGTGTTCCTCGACTTTATCGCTCGTTGTCTGCGCTGGGATCCGGAAAGACGCCTTCGGCCCGAAGATGCTGTTCGCCATGAGTTCATCACGGGTCAGAAGACGCCGATAGCCATACCCCGATTGTCAGCGAGAGATTCTTCGCCATCAAAGCGCGTCACTTCATCTTCAGCCCCACGTCCGCTCCCGGAACCGCCAAATGCCACCATCAAGAGCGTCGCCACTACGATGCGAACCGGCATTAGTCCTCACAAGCCAGTCTCTGGTCCTTCACGAAGAGCTTCTGGAGCTACTGGTGCGACGGCTGCCAGTATCAGCAGGCGAACGAGTGGCGGCGGATCAATCAGCAGCATCAGCAGTTTACCTCGGGCAGCCGGTCGAGTAGTCAGCGGAAAACAAGATCTAGCGGCGGCCGGCGCGTCCGCAGCCATGGGTCGAAGAGGATGACATTTTCCTGTTCATGGAGCACAACGTACCTTGGCAGATTGTCAAGTTGTTTTCTGGACAAGGAATCTGGTGGGAGAAAGCGGATCAGAATTCACGCCGGTCCATCAGGTACGAGGCAATGCTCAGAGCGGTCACTTCGTGATGGCGTCAGTATTGCAATGCGTGTATCTCATGAGACATTGTCGCATTTCCAATCATTCGCATAACACACTTGTATATATCACTACATTTTTCTTTTTGTTCAACTATACCACAGAGAACGAGGGCGGCAGCAATTTCTTTGAAGCATCAATCGAAAGTCTACACTCAAACGGCGGTCCGTCTGGCACGCAGGATGGAAGGCATTGTGACGGGGGGCGTGCGACATGCTGCGTAGGCGAACGAGCTAATGGCTGGGGTTTATCGTAATGGTCGATTTAGTAAGCACCACAGGCAGGTGGGTGATGAGAATGGCCAAGAACGGGGTTCCCGCGTATGTAGACGTCTCTTGTTGGCATTTTTGTCTCACCACGACGTGTACACCACAATACGATGTACACTAGTTACTTTTTGTTTCTGGCGAAGAGGTTGTTTGAGAAACGATGATGCTGACACCTGCTGCTGCCTGCGACCTAGGCAAAAGCAAATGGCAAGCACACGGTTTAGGGAGCGTCAGCGTCTTATTTGATTGGGTTTGGAAACGCAGCGGATCGCACAAATCGGGACATTTGCTCCGCAATGTAAGATGGGTTGTCGTCGTTGTTGTTGGGGCGAAAGAAAGTACATAGATGGGTGGATGGATAGACGGACTGTAATTGAGGTCAACCGTCTTTCTTGGCTCAGTCGCGTTAAGTAGAGAGGTAGTATAGTATGTAGAGAGTAACTGAGAAGGACAAAGGCAGAAAGAATGTGAAACAAAGAGGCGCGTAGAACTAGAGAGGGCCCCGCGTGGAAATGCATGTTGAATGGCTGGATGAGAGCGAAGCCAGCTAGGTATGTAAAAAGCATCAGGATGATGAATCGATCGCTCAAGGTCTTCGCTGTCCATACATAGATAGATATGCAAATCTCGTCTGCATTGTCGGAGCGAACATTCCAACCGATCGATAGTGTAACGTGTGATTGTATGTGTGTATGTACTTCACAAAATCCTTGGTGCCACGTCTGCGCATGGCTGCCTTTATGCGAGAGCCGCTGAGCTGGGCTGATTCAGTGTTGTGGCAGGCGTTTGTGAGTGGCTGTTTTGACGAGCAAAACCCAGCAAAGCCACGCGACGAGAGAGGGGCAGGTGAGGCTTCATCGAGATACAGAATGACGATGCTTACTGAAGATTAGATGCTGCCTTTGCCTAGATGGTGGGTGTCACTTGTAAGAGCGATGTCTTGTCAGTTGAATGCGGGGAATGGGCAGGGCTGAAAAACTTTGGTATGTATAGTGTTGTGCACGAGGAATGACATTATACATGTCTAGTTTCTCTTTTTACGGATACATACCTAGGAACGGGGGGAGTTGGAAGAAAAAGGCCGTGGCGACATCGTGTGGTATACTTAATAACGGAGGCTGCGCATGGATGGATGGATGGATGGATGGATGGATGGATAGATGGATGTTAGGTACATATTTGGATGGATGGATGGTCACTGGTCAGCAATCCAGTGTTGCTTCGTCGATGATGCCATTCCAGGAATCATGGGGCACACAGCGCCAGAGCAGGGATCTATCTAGAGAATTCGGGATCCAGAGGCAGCGCAGACGAAAGATTCAACGTCTGTCTTGAGAGACTGTCGCGAAATGAGGACTAAAAGCTCCCTCCCTCTGACGCCACCATATCTTCGCGAGCTGAACCTAATAAGGGGGCTCATGTCCATGGGCATGGACCCTTTTCATGCTGCTATGTGTCATCTCGACAATCTGTTTTTTTTTTTTTTTAAAGCCGAGATGCGGAGCACTCATGCATGATGTTGTTCCATAGGTCGGCTGAGAACTCTCGTCCTGGGCGACATGTATCAGAGACTCAGGGATGGTGATGCAGGTCAGGACTCAGCACAGCGAAAAACGCGGGAACCAGGTTCATGGTTCCAGAGTTCCACGCTTATCCCTGCTACATACGCTACCAAGCCTTCTATAATCAGGAGTCTCATTTACCATGTTGATTTGTGATGAGAGGACGTGTCAGTTTTTCCATGCGCCGGCTGCGCGAAAACTTTCCACACAGGAAGAGGCATTTGCGCCCGAGGCCAGATTGTGGCCACTGGTCAGGGGCGGGAGACCAGTCAATACCTATGAATAAGTCAGACGAAGAGGCCAAAGAAAATTCCCCTGAAGAAGAAACGTGGTGAGCGAGTTTGTCAGAGATTGGTAGAACTGCGGAAATGACGGCATATGCAAGATTTCTTGGCGATGGTCTCGCTTCTGTGGCTCACGGACGGCACGTCATACGGTACGGTACACCTCCCCACCTAGTCTTGATTTAGGATTGGATTATGTCTCTCGGTAGGAATCGAGCGTGTTCTATTGCCGTTGGTGACTTATAAGTTGTAACTCGAGCGAAACCGTTCGAACGATTTGTGACCCCCCGCCCGTCCCGCGGGCTGGGCCGAGGCTAAACGGCGGAAAATTGGCGACGTGTCCTTGAAGTTGGAGGGAAGCCGTTAAGCTTATCATGTACATATGTATATACCCAGGTACATACTGTGAGGTACATAGGTAAGTAAATGTGTACCTATGTACCTAGTTGCATGGCACCTAACGGAGTATCCTCCTTCATTGTCGCCATGTCATTGTTTCAGTATATACTATGTGGATACAGTGTTGCTACATGCTCTCAAATTCCATCAGTATAGTTATATCACACAATGACCTGAAGAAATCTTGAGTCTGGCATGATGACAGAGTTCGAAACTCACGAAGGCGACAAACTGTCAGACATTCTCAAACTTGATTCCAGCCCCACTGGTATGCAAGGCGCTGTGGCGGAGTGGTCCAACGCCAAAGACTCGAATGAATGTTCCATGGCATCTTTTCCCTTCGGGGGCACCGGTTCGAATCCGGTCGGCGTGGGGTGATCTTTGAGCCTCTGTGTCATTTTTTTGGAATCTACCTACCTATCTATGTACCAACCAAAGTTTTGGCTCCGCTGCGTTGCATTTCCAGTAGGTAGGTACCTACCTCCGAATGTATGCAGACTTGGAAGTTGAAACGGCCATCAGACGACTTTCTATCCAACCATTGAAGGATTTGTTCAAACCTGACACCACACAATCACACACACAGCATACATACCCGTCTCGAGTCTCCGCTCTGGAAAGTTGAAACCCCAGCTTCTGCATAATAACTCCTCCAAAGGGCGATCATGACAGAAAGCCTGATTGCCGTTCTGGCACAATGCTTCGTCCAGAGAGGGACTGCGCCGACAGCAGGGCGCCCAACATGTGCCTGGATTGGACCCAACTGCATTCATGTGCGGCGCGGGGTGCATCAGAATCACACTTTCTGTCCCTTTTGACCATCTGCAGTTATGCTCCGAGGATGAGGTACATAGTCGAAGCTGCTCGTCGTCTGTGGTCGTCTCAGATCGGACTGGTCGACAGCCTCGCCTTACCTTCTCTTTGGCTGGTGGCGTATTGGTGATGGCTTCCCCCAATGTTTGTTGTCCGATTCCACGGCCGAGGTCTTGAGGGCGTGTCGATAGATTGTTTGTATGCACCTTGACGGCGGAAGAAGTTGCTTCGGGTCTGCGGCTTGCTTTGTTCGCGTTCTCCTTGGGCCTTGCATTTTGCCTTCCCTTTCGCCTTTTGCAGCTTCCTGGATTGTCCTACTTCCCTCCGGCCGGTCGTTTCCAATTTGGTATAAGATTGCGATGCCTCGATGCACTCCTTCTTCATTTCTCGTCTCTCTGCATGGATGAAAAGCCTATGGTGTTACTTGTACAACGTCTTCTGCTATACCTACCGTCTCTCTACCTGATTCATCTTACAACCCCCACCTTGCGCTTCTTGCCATCTCAATTCAACTCAAGCTGCTGTTGTAACTTGCCCATCCCACGTTCCCTGCATCGGCCAAATAGACAGGATCTCTTGTCCAGCTCATACCTCACTACGCTAGCAGCCAGCACCTGCCGCGAGATTACCGAGTCTCGAGCCCATCGACATTGACAGCAGGAGGCGCAAATCTTCAAGACATCTCCTTTGCTTTGCCTTACCCACGACGGCTTCTAATACAACGGCCGCCAACAAGGGGTTTTCTTGGCGCGGGCCTTGACACCGCGAACTCGCACTCGCACTCACCTTCACACAGACCGTTTTCGAACAGCGCGTTTCCCAAACTCTCACTTGACGCGTAACAACATGTGCTATAAACTAACTGAGGTTTTCCCGGCATGCGGTTGCATCCACTACGAGCATGCACTTGATCAGTGTGCATCTCACGGCGTGTCTGGTCATGTTGTCCAGGAACGGATCATCACTGTCGGATACGCATGCGACGCACATGCTGCTCGACAAGCCTGGCTCGATGCGCAACAGCAATACTATAATCCTCCGGGATCAGGATCGGGCAAGGCCCCTCGCAGAATAATTAGGAGAAATTAGGGGCGACAACTTTTTGATCTTGGTGACGGGACGGCGCTCATGGATATTACTATTCAGCTGAAGCCTGCTGAGGTTCTCAAGAGCGGAGAAGCTGCCAGCACGCCTTTTTTTTTCAGCCCGTCATGAGTGCCCGAGATACTCCTTTTGCGAACGCTTACCACGGAGCACCTATCTTGACACGCTTATAGCTGTCTCGTGTGCTTCTGTCTATTCTCCGCCTCCTCGTTGTTGCGTCTTGCTCAGGATCACGATGAGTGCTGATGGCCGTGCTGGAGGCACGATGCATCCCGTGACAATTGAGAGTCGTGGCGTTTCTTGTCTACCGTGTCCATGTCTGCTGATGGGATAGGCTGCATTGTCTTCCATTGGCTATCTCACTCATGCTTTGATACGCTCGATGGCTCTTGGTCTCATTTTCTTTGTATGTACTTTCTCTCAGAGGTAGTCATTTCTTCACCGTTTCTTTTTCTCAGCACCGCGGGTTGGTCGTTTGTTTTTCTTGGCACAAATGTAGACAGAATGGTTCTTGTCCTTGCAAGTATGATATCACGATTCACCAGCGTCGGGTTTGGAGACCCAAAGTCCGCCATGGCTGTGCACAGTGCTGGTCGCAGCAACAATTTGGGGACGGTCAGGAATCGTCTGACATGTGCATGATTTTAAGCAGTCTCGTGACACTGAATGTCGCCCTTGAGCGAGCGAATACGAAGAATCGATATTTCTCTATCAGTGTAGTTATGCCAAGACATTGTAAATCTCTGGTGCATTGTTTTTCTGCATCAAGGTGCAAGAGTGAGGCAGGCAGACTTTGAAAAGCGGAGGTGGATCGGAAACGTTCAGCAGTTCCCCACAATTTCCCAGTTTCCAAGTGGGGTTCCAGCTTGCAACGAACTGTCTTCTCATGAAAGTCTGAAAGTTAACACCCAACTTCCAAGGCTTGCGGATCTGCGATCATTTCAACTTGTACCCTTCATTATACTGGAGAAGCGCGCATGGTCATCAAGTCATCAACAGACGAAGAGCGAATATCACCTTCCTTCTTCCTCAGCTGGCAAGGCGATGGCTACCAATTGGCCTCTTCCGCGAAGTGAGACTCGGTAGTCGAGAGGCCGTTCAACGAAGCGTGAGTTGGGCTTGAGGGAAGGCATGTCGAGTTCTTCGGTGCTCCTTCCTGTAGTGAGCACGATGAGTATGGTTGGTCCCTTGGCCCTTTCTCGGCTCCTTGTCAACGCCCGATCACGTCCGTGGCAGAAACATGCTTCACCCCCTCGCTTCAACTCCTCTCTCCGCCAACATCGCACTCCTTTGTTCACGATCCCGCCCTCACGATCCTTCAAAACACACTTCAAAACAATTCTTTTCCTGGTCCATAAGACCAAATAGCAGTTTACAATCAGTTATACTTAAATCAACCTTGGCCCTCGTGGTTTGTGTGTCTCTTAGTCCGTTTCTTTGAGTCACGACATTGAACATCCTTTCCTTACATAGTCAACTCTATTTGTCCTTATAACGGGCCGCTTCTGCCTATCTCATACGGCCTGATTAGTTCTCGTTCCCTGTCCGCCACAGTCTTCATTTTCATCTGCAACTGTTTGTCACTCGGGGGATCCTCTTCACTGTTCCTCAACTGCACGCAGCCTGGCCAGACAAACGGAATAACGCAGCAATCGAACCGTATAGCGTGATTTTCTCAGCCTGTGCTCAAGAAACGACGACCTCTTCTGGTTATGCAACGCGATTTAGGCTTTGTCGGTGCCAGGCGATGTTCTCTTCGCACTAGTCTCTGAGTCACTTGTTACTCAGAGTGGCCGTTCACTTAAAAAGAATACATCGCGCAACCAAGGTACGAAAGAAGCTTCTCGGACCGCCAACTTCTTCGCGTGGAGCTGATGCCCTTTGAAGCTGTTGTGGCTCCAAAATATCTTGCATTAGGCATCGTCATCCTTATACCCATGCCGTTAAGAAAGTGCTGTCTCTTGCTAACTCTAAGAATGAAGCCGCTGACTCGCATTGAGCGTCGCCTTGCATCTCATCGTTGCCAATGGCGAGAGTTACGAATCCTCCCGAAATGCCTGCACGAGCGACGACATTGACGGAACTTTCAGACAACGCCTCGCAGCAGTCTGCGTCTCAAGTAGGATTGCACTATATATCCTCCTATACTGTCCGTCCATCAAAGGCTCGGCCAGTGGGAGGTGGGCATTCGGTGCATGGAGGCAGCGAAAATGCAAACAGTTAGAAACCGTACCATCGCCTAGCCTACGACAAGGCAGCTCCCTATGACCCAAGCATCGACATAAATAGTTCTTCAGATCTGCAAGATGACTTCATACTATCTCCCTCATCAACCATGGTAGATGCGGAAAATTCTTCAGCCACGTCTGCAGGCGCGAATCTGACTACTGTCCTCGATGCTAATTCTGAAGACTCTCATCTCTTGGACAGATGCCTCGGCACACCCAAAGTGAGGCCCTTTTTTGAGTTTTCAGGAACAAATCAGACTCGCAACAAGGCGACTGTCTCATGTCGAGATTATCTACACGTGCCAGTCTCAAAAACTCGACCATGCCCTTCGCACACCACTGGAGACAGTTGGACCTCGGGCCAGCGACTTTCTGAACCCAAGGTACAGACAGCTCTAGCCGTCCAGACTTCTGGTGCATACCAAAAGGCCGACTATTCTTCGGGCCCTGGCACTGAATCTGTTGTCTTTCCACCAGTCAGTCCAATTGATTACGGAGGCAGGTCCTCTAACCCGATGGATTCTCTCAATGGCGATCCTCGTCTAGGTGTCAACCAACAGTCACATACTCCCGACGATGCTGCTCATCCAGTGAAAGCCAAGACTAGCGATGCTGCGTCGACGGCCACAGGATCCGAAAGTCGCACTGTTGAGCTCATGTCAAATTCCGCGCAAACACAACAGCAGCGCACATCAATCCATCAAAGAACAGCGGCAAAGGGGTGCGGTCATGATTCAGATGCTGAGGCTGTTGTTGGAGCCCGACAAGAGCGCCCTCGCCTAGACTCTCGCACTTTGCCACGCTGCGAGCATGGAGGTCCCGCATCGCATAATCCAAACATGTACCCTATACATGATACATCAGCACCCATGGCCCTTCATTCTCCGATTCCAGTTTCCAAAGTGAGGCCATCTCTCGATCCCTTGGAGTCCATACATAAGCACAGGAATGATGGCCATAGTTCAGTTCCGAAGATGAGGCCAGCACACGGCATCAGCAGTTCAAAACCATTACTAGGAGAGCAGGCTGGTCATGTTAATTGTGGTGAGCCAAAACCAGCTCCGTTGCCTGCTTCCAGTTCCGTGTCTGACGGCAATCAAGCTTCGCGCAGCCTATTCGACCACAGACGCACCAAGAAATGGCTAAAGGATGTGTTGAAGTATCCAGAAAATTATGCGCCAAAGTACACTCAAAGACCGAGCAGTCATTATGAGGGAACCAGCAACAC